ATTCTTTAGCCTGGAGCACAAGATTTTGGTGTCAACGTGAGTGCCCAGTAGCCAATGAAATTTAAACTCTGATTAATTAGCTTTACTGATTCCTTTTTATGTTATTACTGGTGAAGCAAACAAAATACAGTGTACTGAATTCCAAGGCCAGGTCTGCCTCTTCAGGTATCAAAATGCAAAATCCTTTCTCTGCCTTTCTAATCACCAGGGATAAAATGCCAGAGAAAACATAGTTCCTATATTGACAAATTTCTTTAATAAGCAAATAAATATTCAACTCACAAACCCTTAAAAATGGTGAAATGAGAACAAAATACTTTATAAACACAGACATAAATGAGCCTAAATTCTCTTAGGAAGCATACTTTCAGACTAGACTCCACCCCCACATCTGAGTATATAATATCTAAAAGAGATAAACCTAATTCCAGTAATGCGGAATGATAAAACTGAATGGATAGAGAAGATATAGCAAGAAAATGCAATGAAAAGAAAGCAAGAATTGCAATAACAATATAAGATAAAGTAGAAGGAAATAAAAAATTGATTAGAAAAAATGGACTCAAGGGGAAGTGGAAAAAAGGTCAATAATCAGCAGGTTTTTTTTTTTTTTTAAGATTTATTTATTTATTTAAAAGAGTTACACAGAGAGAGGAGAGTCAGAGAGAGAGAGAGAAAGAGAGGTCTTCCATACATTGGTTCACTCCCTAAACACAACGGCCAGAGCTGGGCTGACCCGAAGCCAGGAGCCAGGAGCTTCTTCTGGGTCTCCCACGGGGGTGCAGGGGCCCAAAGATTAGGGCCATCTTCCACTGCTTTCCCATTTCATAGCAGAGAGCTGGATTGGAAGTGGAGCAGCCGGGATTCAAACCGGTACCCATATGGGATGCCAGCACTGCAGGTGGCGACTTCACTCACTACGTCACAACGCCGTACCCAGCAAACAGTTTTAAAAAGTTATCAAATCATTAAACATAAAAAATTCTAGTCTAAGGCCGGCACTGTGGCTCAATTGGCTAATCCTCCGCCTAGTGGCGCCGGCACACCTGGTTCTAGTCCCGGTCGGGGCACCGGATTCAGTCCCAGTTGCTCCTCTTCCTGTCCAGCTCTCTGCTGTGGCCCGAAAGTGCAGCGGAGGATGGCCCAAGTCCTTGGGCCCTGCACCCGCATGGGAGACCAGGAGAAGCACCTGGTTCCTGGCTTTGGATCAGTGCAGCGTGCCGGCCGCAGTGGCCATTGTGGGGTGAAAGGAAGACCTTTCTCTCTGTCTCTCTCTCTCTCACTGTCCACTCTGCCTGTCAAAAAAAAAAAAATCTAGTCTAAATAATTCAACTTTAAATTTTTATATACTTTTTAAAAATATATATTTATTTATTTGAAAGGCAGAGCATCGTGGGGGAGGGAGAAGGGAAGAGAGAGAGACAGAGAGATCTTCCATCCACTAGTTCATTCCCCAGCTACACACAACAGCCATGTCTGGGGCAGGCTGAAGACAGGAGGCAGGAACTCCATCTGGGACTCCCACGTGGGTGGTAACTGTCATCTGCTGCCTCCCATGATGGACATTAGCAGGAAGTTGTATCAGAAGTGGAGGGGCCAAGACTCAAACTGGCACTTCAGTACAAGATGCAGGTGTTCCAAGCAGTGTTTTAACCCACTGTGTCAACAACGTCTGGGCATAGACTTTATTTTTTTAAGAATAATTAATATGTGCAGTAAAACGTAACAGAAGGTACAGAAATTTCTCGTATGCCTCCAAACATGCATGGCTTCTCCTCTTTTCAGTGTCTTTCACCAGAGTAGTATGTTTGTTGTAAGGGATGAACATGCATTGACACACCATTGTCCCATATTCATGGTTTACATTAGAGTTCACTCTTGGTGGTGTACATTCTGTGGGGTTGGACGCATTCATACCAACATAAGTCCGCCATTATAGTTTCACTGCCCTAAAAATTCTCTGGGTTATACCTCTTCATCTCCCTCTCCCTGCTTCCTGGAAACTTATGACCCATCAATTATGCTCCTTGGTTTTTGCCCAAAGGATTTAAAACTTTTAATAAGCAAATTCCATAGAAACATTTCAAAACTTAGAAAAAGATAACATTCAGCTTTATAAAGTAATAAAGTTTTAGCATTGAAATGTGGACAAAAATAACAGACACAAAAATTCAAGTCTATCTCATGTATATATGAAAAATTTTAAAGTTCTACATAAAACACTAGTAAAATAAATTTAGCAAAATATTAAAGGAACCATGCATCATGGTTGAGTTTTTGAGAGGAATATAATAATAATTCCATACTGGTAGAATCACTGCTATAGCACATTACATTATTCAACCAAAGGGTGAAAATGACACATGAGAATTTCCATAACTGACCTTCAGTCAGGGGATTAGATAGCATTCATTTTAATTTTTGATACTAAAAAATCATTATTCACTGAGATTGGAGAATATGGCAATAATATTGGAGATATAGGTATAAGCCATGGCTACAGTTTGATAGTGAACACAGGAGAAGTCAACTACTACTCTATGGAGTGTTTAAAAAGAATGCTACCCAGTACCACACTTCTGCATTGGACTGTAGAAAACCATCCAGTGAATCTTCTCAGATGGAAATCTAAATGTTGGCCAAATATACAACAGGCCATTTGAACTTGATTTGTTTTCTGTCCAACACTAATCTTTGCCCAAACTTTCCATCAAATGTACTAGACATCACAGTTTTAAATTCTGGGAACCCGGAGTAATGGTACAATTCCAAAGAAAAGATCTGCTACTCAATGTTTCTGTATGACTTTATTATAACCCCATCTGTGAAGTCATCTATGTATATATCACTGTGCAAAATGTGAAAACAACTATTACTGTTTAAGTTTGGTACTATTTTTTTTGACAGGCAAAGTTACAGAGAGAGAGAGAGAGAGAGAGAGAGAGAGAGAGAGAAAGGTCTTCCTTGCATTGATTTACCCCCCAGGTGGCCGCTAAGGCCTGCGGGCGGCGCCGATCCAAAGCCGGGAGTCAGGTGCTTCCTCCTGGTCTCCTATGTGGGTGCAGGGCCCAAGCACTTGGCCCATCCTCCACTGCCTTCCCAGGCCATGGCAGAGAGCTTGACTGCAAGAGGAGCAAACGGGACAGAACCGGCGCCCCAAATAGGACTAGAACCTGGGGTTCAGGCACTGCAGGCGGAGGATTAGCCTAGTGAGCCACGGCACCAGCAGTACTATGTTTTTTATGATAGCCTGTGTTGTAGGTTGAATTGTGTCTGTAAAAGTTGATGTATTAAAACTTAACCCCAGTACCTGTGAAGGAGGTTTTAATCAGAAATAAAGTCTTTGCTATTATAATCAAGTTAGATGAAGACATATAAGATTAGGTTGGATTCTAAGCCAGTGATGTGTTTTTATGAATTAGGGAAATTGAGGATGCAGACAAATTTAGGGATGATAGCCATGTGAAGACAGTGCCAAAGACCCTCTGTCACAGCCAAGAAACACCTAGTGTTCCTAGAACCTGGACAACACCAGACAGGATTCTTCTTAGGGGCTTTGCAAGGACACATGTTTTGCCACCACTTTGATTTTAGACTTCTAGCCCCCAGAACTATAGGAGAATACATTTCTCTTATTTTAGGAACCTACCATGTGGTACTTTGTTACGAAAGCTCTATGAAACATATAACCTATAATGACTAGGTCCTGTATTTGTAAGCTTTTCATTGCTTTACAATAGCTGAGAGAAGCAACATAGGAGGATATATGGTTATTTGAGCTTACAGTGTGAAGGTTCACAGTCCAGGACTGGGCAATCCCCTTAGCCTGGCATCTGGTGGAGGCTGATACTAGTAGGGCAGGTGGGGAGGAATGGCGAGCCAGGAGGCAGACAGAGAATATATGACAGACGGGGCTTAAAGAATCAGCCCCTTGGGAGAACTATCTTCCAAGGACAAGCCCCGAGCCTAAGAACCTCCCACTGGGTGTAGCTCTCAGATACCATACTTAGATCAAGCCTTCACCCTAATCATTCAAATTAATCCATTACTCATTAACGTAAGAGTTTGGGGACTAACACCTCAATAGATGGCCTTTGTAGGACATCTACACTATTATAACAGTAAGTGCTGTGTACTTGACCATGATTTTTAATCCTCAATACTAGTTTTAATGAGCTGTGATTATTTTAAAATCTGTATATGGATGAAATGGTCATTTTTTCCATTAAATTATTGTTTATAGTTATCTATATTCCCACTAAACTAGGGACTTTTTGCTTTTTACTTGTTAAACTTCTTACTAGATGAAGTATTAAGCCTTTGTACTGTAATGTAAATTTAAAATATGTTATCTCAAAAAAAAAATAGAAAGGAGAGTGGAGGCAGGAGAGGGAGGGAACAATTGAATGTCACTATGTTCTTAGGATTATATCTACATCTGTTAAAAAATAATTGAAATTTTAAGTTTGAAAAATTTTGGGGCCAGTGCTGTGGTTAAGCTTCTGCTTGTAGAACCAGCATCCCATATGGGCACCAGTTTGAGTCCTGGCTGCTCCACTTTTGATCCAGCTCCCTGCTAATGGCCTGGAAAGGCATTAGAGGGTGGTCCAAGTACTTGGGCCCCTGGACTTACTTGGAAGACCCCGTAGAAACTCCTGGCTCCTGGCTTTGGATTGGTTCAGCTCTGGCGATTGTGGCCATTTGGGGAGTAAACAGGCTGATAGATCTTTCTCTCTGTCTCTCCCTCTCTTTCTCTCTCTCTCTCTTTAACTCTGCTTCTCAAATAAATCTTTAAAAAAAAACTTAAAAAAACAATGCTTATCGCAGTTATTAAAAGAAATACTTTAAAAGAAATTCAATTTCTAATTTTTAAGTAGAAAATAATGCTATCAATAATTTCCTGGTTTTGGATGATGCCGTGGCTCACTAGGCTAATCCTCTGCCTGCGGCAGCGGCACCCGGGGTTCTAGTCCCAGTCGGGGCGCCAGATTCTGTCCCGGTTGCTCCTCTTCCAGTCCAGCTCTCTGCTGTGGCCCAGGAGTGCAGTGGAGGATGGCCCAAGTGCTTGGGCCCTGCACCTGCATGGGAGACCAGGAGAAGCACATGGCTCCTGGCTTCGGATCAGCGCAGTGCGCTGGCCGCAGCGGCCATTGGGGGGTGAACCAACGGCAAAGGAAGACCTTTCTCTCTGTCTCTCTCTCTCACTGTCCACTCTGCCTGTCCAAAAAAAAAATTTCCTGGTTTAGTCCTTCATATAAATTTTTAAAAACTGAAAGCCATCCCGGCAGAAGGGATGCACACGCCAAAGAGTTGATGATCACAGGGACTGCTTGAGGAGCAGCAAGTGGGACAATTCATCACATGTTTGCAGCCAAAAGCTCCCATTAAAATGCTCATTCAAGGTTCTGTGGTTGTGGTGTAGCAGGCCAAGTCTATGCCTGTGGTGCTGGCATCCCATATGGGTGCTTGTTCTGCTTACGTCCTGGGAAAGCAGTGGAAGATGGTGAAAATGGCCTGAGTGCTTGGGTCCCTGAAATCAAATGGGAGACCTAGAAGAAGCTCCTGGATCCTGGCTTCAGATTGGTCCAGCTCCAGTCATTGTGGCCATTGGGGAATGAACCAGCAGATGGAAGACCTTTCTCTCTGTGTGTTCCTCTCTGTATGTAACTCTACCTCTCAAACAAATAAAAATAAAATTTTAAAAAGTCTATTAAAATTAATAAAAGCTTTTGAGCTATGTAGATGAAGTTGATCAAGATCTTCATCAGTATCAGTAGTTAGTACAGTGGAGTTAAGTAGAACCTTTGCTCGTATCACTGAGAAGACCACGTCTGGCAGAAGAGTTGGGTGATGTTTGTGGAGTGGGTGGTGACGGCGTGTGTATTGGGCTGTCAAGGAAGCCTGGACCAGGGACGACTGAAGATCAGTTCCCTCGGGCCCTCACTGACTACCATGGGCACACATTTTACTGGGCCTGGTGGTGCACCACCATGTGGCACTGTGGTTCTGGAAAATGCTGTGCTGAACAAGGTTGTCAACTTTCTCTTGAATACTTACACTCTTGGAATAGATTCTTCTCTCCTTTGAAGGGTTTAATAGTTTTCATGTCTTTTTCATGATTAGTTGATATAGTCTAGTGGAATGAGCCATCATATGGTAGAAGGAGTTGTGGGACTGGATTTCAAAGGTCTAGGCAGTGATTCTTTGTAACGTTTTACATACTTGTGCCCTGAGTGTTTTCACAATAGACTTGAAACACTTTGAAATAAAAATACCAGGTGGGACAGATGTTTGGCACAGTGGTTCAGCCACTGCTTGGGATGCCCACATCCCATATTGGACAGCCTGGATTTGATTCCAGCCTCCTGCCAATGTGCAGGCTGGGAGCCAGCAGGTAATGGGTCCCTGATACCTATGTGGGAGACCCAGATAGAGTTCTTGGTCCCCTGGCTTTAGCCTGGGCTATCCTTGGCTGTTTCATCCGTTTGAGTAGTGAACCAGTGAGTGAAAGATGTCTTTATGTCTCTTACTGTATGTATTTCATGCTCTGTCTTTCTACCCTTTCCAATCAAAAAATGAAAATAATTTTCTCAAAAGTTAAAGAGAAAAATAAATAAATCTCAGAGTAAAACTAAAACTCATTCAGACACAGATACTTTAAATAAGATTAAAGTGCAATTTTTTGAACTATTCTTTATTTTCTTCATTTATTCAAACAGCAAGAAAATTCAGTAATTACCTAAATAACATGAATAGGTAGTCTTTTTTATCTAACTTGGGAAACTAACAAGGTAAATCTTTGAAGCCAATGCTGAATAAACAAAAATATGTATTTTATTTTAAATTACAATTCTGATTCATTTATCTGTGAGTGAACTTCCCTAGTACTCTGTGTCCTAGAACAATGGGCATACTTCTTCACACTGATCAGAAAGAGTCATCTTATAGGTAAAAGTGTGACATGATCCACCTTACTTTACTATTGCCTATATCACGTAAAGACTGGGTTTTGGGAGTTGCATTTTCTTCTGAGCACTTAGGTGTCACCTGGCAAAAACTAATTTATCATAAGAGTGACCAGGCTTCATAGAGACTTTGCAAGACTGAGAGAAGCAAGGATAGTGCAGGTTTTAACCAATATTGTCTTTTTTTCTTTTTCATGAGAAATCATTGAGCATCTAATAGTGTTTTCAAACTTCATGGAAAATCTGGAGCAAAAGTTACAAACATGCAAACGTCAAGGGTCAAATCAAACTCTCTTTTCCAGCAAGTTAAGCGGCTGGTAGGTGCCTTTGACTTTGAGTTTCCTCTCTCCTGGAGAAACTCCCAACTCTGAGAGCTTCTGAGTGTGTGAAAACCAGAGGCGCTCAGCGCTGAGATTCTTCGTGGTAAATGATTTGTGGTTTGGCATTCAGAGTTGTTAAAAGTTGTGCCTGTGTTGCTTCACTTCCCCACAGTCTGGCTTCCTCCTGCTGGTATTCATCTCCAGTCAGTTAGCAAGTCCTGGTTGTGCCTACGTACATGAGTGAGTGATGGATGAGTCCAGGATTGAGCCTAAAAGGTATCTTCTTCTATACTATATTATTTCATTAATAAAAAGACAATTTTTTCATTTATGTTTTTTTTTCTGGCCTGCATATAGTTTAAGGGAACGTGGATTTTCAATAAAAGTTATCTTTAGCAATTCAATTATTCAATAAAATTATAAAAATATATATGGTGTTTCATATTTTGTTAGGTAGAGAAACTAATGGCTTCTTTACTAAGTCTTTTTTTTTTTTTACTTGACAGGTAGAGTTATAGACAGTGAGAGAGAGAGACAGAGAGAAGGGTCTTCCTTCCATTGGTTCACTCCCCAAATGGCTGCTATGGCCGGCGCTACGCCGATTCAAAGCCAGAAGCCAGATGCTTCTTCCTGGTCTCCCATGTGGGTGCAGGGGTCCAAGCACTTGGGCCATCTTTCGCTGCCCTCCCAGGCCATAGCAGAGAGCTAGATTGGAAGAGGAGCAGCCGGGACTAGAACCCTGAGCCTATATGGGATTCTGGCACCACAGGCAGAGGATTAACCTAGTGAGCCAGGGCACCGGCCCTTTACTAAGTCTTAGGGTTGAATAAATGACTGAAAGGCCATGCTTTGTATTAAAGGTATGATCTTTCTTTGTCTTTTTTTTTCCAACCTAAGTTGTCAAATACATGTGTGACCAAAATCCCAGTGTTATGACTACCCATGTGACTATGACCATGAGAAGTTACAAATACCTCCTGGTATTCTTTCTTCCTTGAGCCTGCATCTGCTCTCAAATATTTCTCAGTAAGAAGTTCCAGAAAGGCAAAACAATTGATCAAGATTAAGCGCAATTTGAAAAGGTTTCCATTGTTGTTTTAAATATGATCAACATTTGAAGTTAGTTCTCTAGTTTTTATAAGTGTTTATTTTAGTGGTTTCTTCCTGCTTTGGGTATGATCCACTGGGCCCTTCATGAACTACATCCAAGGGCTTTAGTTGTTTTTCTGTGCTTTTGCTCATTTTAATGTTTCCCTTGAAAATCTTCTAGAATTTTTTAAATAAAACCAGATTTGGTGGCACCTACCAGTTCAATCAGGATAGATGGGCTTAAATTCCATGGTGTGAAATTTTGCTAATTTATCAAATGATTATCACATAAATTACATCAGCTTACTCTTTGAACAGAATGCAAAAGACAGTGTTCCTGACTTCAAACACCCTGGGGAGCTATTTATTCTGTCTTCAGGAGAACTGTTTGGGCTGTCAAGTCTTTCACATTTTTTTTTTTTTTTTTTTTTGGATAAGCAACAGTCTCAGATACAAATTCTGTGTGAAGCATTCTTCTGAAGCAATCCAGCCAGTTGGCAGTGTCTGTGATCAACACCAACTGCTCCAAAGCTTTGGAGAAAGGCATGAGCGTGTGTGTGCTGTGCATGATACAGGAATGCCACTGAAATCCCTCTTAATCCATTAACTCATAAAACAGAGTCAATGTTTGTTCAGCGCTTGGCAATACATTTTCTCCAATTTCAAAACTCATTTGGAATCCCACCCACATTTGAACGTATTTTTCCCCTCCTAAAATTCTTCAAAGTAGTCTGCAGAATAGGAACACCAAACAGATTATGTAATAAGAATTGAAATTCCTATCGACACCTGACAACTTAGCACATTGAAAATAGTGTGGTCTTTGATGTCAGAAAGACCTTCCTGTCTCTTTTATGTGAGCCTTGGCCAGACAAGTGACATCTCCAAGCCTTGTTTCTTCATCTCTTGAGTAGGGATAATGATATCTACCTGCCAGGACCATTATAAGGATTAAAGGGATAACACATATTAAAGTCTTGGCATACCCGAAGTATCTCGTAACAATTAGCTGTTATCATTCTGCTTCGTATCAGTAGTAATATTGTTAAAAGAGCTAACGTAAACTTGTGTTTATCACTCATGGATTCACGCAATGAGTGTTTACTGCAGTGTCTGCTCTGTACACAGGATCCTATGCTGGGTGCCATAAGGGTGTGGGTGGGAGTGGTTTAAATGCATGCATTGTATCTTCAATGGTCTTATTCCCTGGTTGGGAAACAAATATGTACATACATAATTAGAACAGAAAGTGCCAAAAAGAGACAGACTGAACTGCTAAAGGGCTTAGGAAGAAGGAAGAGTCTAATTTTATTACCAGTGGAGGTGAAGGAGGAAGTACAGTAAAGCTTCTTGGAGAAAAAGCGACTCTATTCTCCCTCCCCATTGGGTACTTTGGTCTTTCCACATCAGCCCACACCAAAACTACCCCATTCTCTCCTCTGACAATCTTCCTTTACCTGCTGTGTTTCCAATGGCTGTTAGCTGCCTCTGCTTCCAGTGAACTCTCATATGACCCAATAGAAGTGAAAGAAACAGGAAATTATTATGTTCTTCCTTCCCCTGAAAGTTCCCAGATATCAAAAACTGTTTTGGATGGCACTGTGGCTCAATAGGATAATCCTCTGCCTGCGGCGCCGACACCCAGGGTTCTAGTCCCGACTGGGGTGCTGTATTCTGTCCCAGTTGCTCCTCTTCCAGTCCAGCTCTCTGCTGTGGTCCGGGAGGGCAGTGGAGGATGGCCCAAGTGCTTGGGCCCTGCACCCGCATGGAAGACCAGGAGGAAGCACCTGGCTCCTGGCTTTGGATCAGCGCAGTGTGCCGGCCTTAGCGGCCATTTGGGGGGTGAACCAGTGGAGGGAAGACCTTTCTCTCTGTCTCTCTCTCTCTCACTGTCCACTCTGCCTGTCAAAAAAAAAGTTTTAAAAAGCAACTTCTGGCTTCCTTTGTGAGGTATCAAGCAACTCCCAGAAGAGCTCAAAAGTTCCTGGAAAATCCTCATTATTTTTCAATTCCCTTTTTCCATGAATTTTTGTATGACTCTCATATACCTATTTCTTACCTGTCTATGGACGTATTTGTTTTGGTTTCACATTATGAGACCTTTAGGCAATGGGACTTGAGGTTTTCCATACAATGACTTGATATTTTCAACTTCATGGCAATCATTTTGCACTCCTTATGCACTTTGCATTTCATCATTTGTTTTGAAACGTATTCTGAAGTTGTTTTTACAATAAGACTAAACTTGAGATTAATGAAGATGTGTCTTTACAGAATCAAAGTGAGATTTGTCCTTCTCTGTTTTAGCCAATATGTGCAATGTAATCAAAGTCATTCTGCTATTTTTGCTTGAAAATTCCTGCCAATGCAAAACTCATCTGCAAGAAATACTTCCTCTAAGTGCCACCATAGATATCGAAAAGATATTTAATAACTTTTACCCATCATTTCTTATTAAGATTCTAGGAGGAATAGAATCACGGTGTTATTTCCTTCATATAGTAAGCACACACATGTAATACACATTCACACACACATACTGTACCAGTGCACATTCACACACAATACAATGTCATTTGTGTTATGGACACAAGTCAAGCATACAAGTTATCACTGCTATTATTTCATGTTGTTTTGGAAAAGCTAGTTATTAAGAAAATAAAGTAAGTGATACCAATACAGAAAAAAGTCAAATTTTTAATTTCATAAAAATCCAATAAACTATCTAAAACCTCTTAGATATAAAAAGATAAACCAATAAAGGAGCCAGTTAAAAAATTAATGTGCTAGAACTCAAAAAGTTCTTTTCTAATAAAGAGATTATTTAGGAAATACAATGGTAAACATTATAATACAAAATACAAGCTAAAATGTAAAACATATTTAGGATTGAACTGAAAAAGGAAAGATTAAGGCTATGCATAAAAAACCATTGAACTCCACCAAAGGTCATAAAAAGGGGAAAATAAATTAAGAATCACACTTTGTTCCTCACAGAATACTCACTCTTCACAGGCAAATCTATATGTCTAACAGAACCTCGACAATATCTTAATTAAATCAAATCACTCAAGCCTCATCCAAAAATAAATATTAGCATAATATAAATATTCTGAACTGGAGCAATAATTGGAAAGAGCACTGAACTGCCAGATATTTAAATGCAATAAATGCTAGTTGGCCAGTAAGCATTTTTAAAGATGCTGTACTACAATAGTAATCTAAGAAACACAAATGAAAATAAGAACAGTTCCTTTTCTGTTTTTTACAAATAGAAAAAAAGGATATCTACTGTTAGTGACTGAGAATCAAGTGTGCATATATTGCTAAGGTATAAATGAGTCTAATTCCTTTGAGAGAAATTTGACAAATATATTTCAAATATCTAAATGTTACATGCCCCTAGGGTTATGTCCCCAGGTATGGAGCTATGAATCAACTATTTTGTCTTGGAATTTTTCCTATATAAATAATTGCATGAATGACTCAAGATATAGGAACAAGGATATTCATTGTAGCTTTCATTATATGCAAAATGAATGCAAATTACTAAAAAGAAAATAACAGACCAGAGCTTCACTAATGAGGTGTTCACCCAATCATTTATATAATGTCTCCTGCTGCAAGTGTCATTCTTTAATACTAAAGGATGTAGATCTTACTTACAGAGGAGGGGAGATAGAGAGGAGAGACAAGTAGACAGGAAAAGGGAATAGTAGTAGAGAGATCATAGCTTGGTAAGCTATATACCAAATGTTAATAATTTTTTTTTTTTTTTTTACAGGCAGAGTGGACAGTGAGAGAGAGAGACAGAGAGAGAAAGGTCTTCCTTTGCCGTTGGTTCACCCTCCAATGGCCGCCGCTGCAGCCGGCGCACCGCGCTGATCCGATGGCAGGAGCCAGGATCCAGGTGCTTTTCCTGGTCTCCCATGGGGTGCAGGGCCCAAGCACCTGGGCCATCCTCCACTGCACTCCCGGGCCATAGCAGAGAGCTGGCCTGGAAGAGGGGCAACCGGGACAGAATCCGGCGCCCTGACCGGGACTAGAACCCGGTGTGCCGGCGCCGCAAGGTGGAGGATTAGCCTATTGAGCCACGGCGCCGGCCTCCAAATGTTAATAATTTAATAACCAGGTGGAGTGATTATTAGTAGTACTCATTTATTTATTTTTTTCTTGGATTTGCTGTCTGAATACTTAAAAATAAGCACTTACGAATTTTAGGTGTCTGGCTTTTGCCCTACCAATTATTCTTCAGCCTCCTTCCTGTGAGTTCTGAGCGAATGTCGTTGGTTCCTCAGCACAACAGACAGCTTCCTTCTGGCTCATACTAGTAGAGGTCCAGATTCCTGATCTTTCCTACTGACCATGAAGCCGCTGCAAGGTGTTAATTTCCCACCACAGAGATATGAATCCTCTTTAAGGATGCTGACTACTGGGTTGTATTCTAGACTTCCCAAAGCTGTCATGCCAGTGGGGTGTATTCCCTGGAATCTGTTGGTTGATCACTAACCTGTTTTTAATATTTTTAGATTTTTTTACTCACTTACTTTTATTTGAAAGGCAGGGAGGGAGGGAGGGAGGGAGAGAGAGAGAGAGAGAGAGAGAGAGAAAGTGCTCCCAGCTAGTGATTTACTCCCCAGATACTCACAACAGCTGGGACTGGCCAGGAACTGGAATTCAATCTGAGAGTTTCCCATTGGGTAGAAGGGACCCAAGTACTTGAACCATCCATCACCTGCTTCCTGCCATGATGTGATCTGCATTTGAAGGAAGCTAATTTGAAGTGGAGCTGAGACTTAAACCCAGGCACTCTGAAACGAGATGATGGTGTCCCAAGCATTGTCTTAAATGCTATGTCAAATGCCCATGCCAAAAACTGTCCTACATGAAGAAACTTGGTGTGTGAGACCCCAGTGGAAAGAAGTGGTCATCAAAGAAGGATGTGCTTTTCTCTGAAGAGAGGAGAGAACTTCCACTTTGCTTATGGTCTCATCATACATAAGAGTGTTGGTTGTTAAATTAACAAGAGTTACTGTGCACTAACTTCCCATGCGGGACCTCTGTCCTCAAAGAGTTGTGTTATAATTATGTCTAAATGCTCCCAAAAGATATATAATGCTTGATTGCTTCTTTAAAATTAATTAAGTTTCTAAAAAAAAAGTGAAATTAACTTCAAGATGCAAATAACATTGAACAGCCCTTGTCTTGACTGTTGAGGAACAGTTTTGTTTTGTTTTGTTTTGGTGCAAATTTCTGAACTCTACTTAGTATAGAGTTGGTCCTCTGTGTATAAAGTTAATCGAAAATGGATCTTAGAGGAGAATGGGACTGGGAATGGGAGAGGGAAAAGGAGAGGTGGGAGTGGCATGGGAGGGCAGGTATGGTCAGAAAAATTACTATATTCCTAAAGTTGTACTTATAAAATGCACAAGTTTGTATACCTTAAATAAAAGGTTTCTTTGGGGGAGGAAATAAAAATAAAATAAAATAATAAATATATAGATAAAAATAAAAATTAAATTTAAAAAAGCAGGGAAAAAAATGCCCATGCCACTAAGCCGTTTCTATCCTTCATAAACACCAAGCAAGACTACATTTCCCAGACACCCTCATGGGATCCATGGTCATGTGATCCATGTGAAACCAGCAGATGAGAGACATCACCTCCAGGCTTGGCCCACTGAACCTCCTGTGTGTGACTCTGCTCTTCTACTCTTTAGCTTAGAAGTCCATTCCTGGGGAAATGCTGGAACCTGTGTGTCGAAGGCAACAGAGCCTGAATCTCTGAATGGTGTGTGAACAGAGCTGCCCTGCCAAACTAGCATGGCTTTGGGCTATTTCTGAGCACGGTTCTGTGCGTGAGTGTGTGTGTGTTTGTGTGCACAAAGACCAATAAACAAAACCTAAAGAAAACAACCAACATCAACACTTCCATGCTTGACCCATTATGTTTTCTTTTTTGTCTGATATTGCAGATAACTGATCTTGACTTCAAAACCACATCATTGTCCATGAAGAGTTGGTGCGGTGCCTTTCTCCCGATCTGGTTTACATTTTGTGCCTTGGCTGGCACAGGTTATCCCTTGTGTGTCAGAGTCCTTTATGAAAAGAGCTGGTTTCAGCTGGTGCCGTAGAGCTCACGTAAGGAAGTCTGGCTCTAGGCATGGAACATTCTCAGCTACCTTCACTGAAGTATTCTCCCTTCCTCTTCTACTTTCTTACTAGGTACGTATATGCTTAACTTTCTTTGCATTCCTTCTCTCTCTCTCGCTCTCTCTCCCTTTGTCTCTCTTTCTTTCTTTTTACCTCCATGGCATGTGAGCATTAGAGATAATTTCTCCTGCACCTTCTGCCTGGTTGATTAGCTCTGTTAGGAAGCTTGCAGCTAAGCTGAGATGCCAGTTATACTCGCGGAAAGTCATCTTATTTCATAGAATGTTTCTAAATTACCAAGTTTAAATCAAATAAATCAGGAGCACCATGAGTGACTAAGCACGGTTAGTGGAGCATACTCCAGAGGGAACTCGGTCTGAATCTTACATCCTCTCTGCAAACTGTGCTGAAGTTTCTGTCTCGATTTCCTCAGTGACAAAATAGAGCAAAGCTAATTCCTGCATGTTGTGCACATTCTGAAATATAAATGAGGTGATCTTTTCAGTTGCTTAGAGTTAAATGATCACATCATTGACAGATAAGAGAAAGGATAGGAAAATGATGGAACAAATCCACTGGGTTAAAATTTTACAAGAGAGAGGGAAAGATATAAAGAGAGATACTTAGACACTCAAAGAGAAAAACACTAACCCTGTTCAAATTAAACTGCAATTGGTGACATTTTAATATTACATATGACCCACAGTTATAAAATACGGCTTCATAAGACAAAATATCAAAATTCTTAATAAAACATAAATAAATAACAGTAAGAATCATAAAAAAATACAGCTTCAAACCTAGAATGATATTCATATCAATTGGATCTTCCCCAAATTTACATTGCTCTCCACTGCAGTATTTTATGTGAATGTGGATATTTTCCACGGGTTATTATGCCCCATTGAGTTATTAGCACCTCCTAGAGTACTTCATGATGTCAGCTCCTTCGTATGCATTCCCATGGAAACAGAATATAGTATAACACAACTGAGAAGGGGCCCACATGCCTTTCCTGTGTATATCTTCAGGAATAGAATTAACTAGGGGAATGAATATGTGGTGATTGTGGGGTTTCACAGTGAATCTCTCTGCATCTCTCAAAGACTTCTGTTTTTAATAAACTTTACTAGAAATGTAACATTACCAAAAAGTATAATCAAGTACATTGTATATGTATGAATCATAACAAAAGGGGATTAGATAATGTTTTTGTTTATATAAATGGGCTGTTTCACAGCTGATATTTATTTTTTAGTGGAAAAATTTGTTTGGGTGAAGCAAAGGAGTCTGGGTGAAAGGCTTTAGAAGGAGATGACTTACAGTCAAGTAAAGTTTGTGAATCTACATGCAGTTGACCACAGTGTTCTCTCAAACAACTTCAGGTTAACTTTACCCCTTGTGCGGGCTGAGTTGGTAAACTCCATGGGCTGAAAACTTGTCCGAATCCTCAGAAGGAACTGTCCTAATGATGATTCCTAACTTTCGGGTCTTGAACAATTAACTTGGCTCAGACTTCATTTTCTACCTTGTGAAACACAGCTATTGAAAGTCTAACACATTGGGCCGGCGCCGTGGCTCACTAGGCTAATCCTCCACCTGCAGCGCCGGTACTCCGGGTTCTAGTCCCAGTTGGGGTACCAGCTCTGTCCCAGTTGCTCCTCTTCCAGCCCAGTTCTCTGCTGTGGCTGGGGCGGGGTGGGGGAAGTGGAGGATGGCCCAAGTGCTTGTGCCCCTGCACTCGCATGGGAGACCAGGAGGAAGCACATGGCTCCTGGATTCAGATCAGTGCGCACCAGCCAAAGCGGCCATTTTGGGGGGTGAGCCAACGGAAAAGGAAGACCTTTCTCTCTGTCTCTCTCTCTCACTGTCTAACTCTGCCTATCAAAAAGAAAAAAAGTCTAACACATTGAACATGTGTGCTATGATCATTTTGAACACTCTCCTAATGCAAGGTGTCCGGCGTGTAACAAATCTTCCCAGGCAGATGAATCAATTAATTCACAGGCTTTTATTGGGGTTCCGCTCCCGAGCGAGGTTCCCCGGTCCCAACAGAGTGGGGAAAGTCACGTGTCAGAGATTGGGAGGGCTCCTTTTATAGATTCAGGGCATGGGGGTTAAAGGTTGAGGCGGGTCTGATCCTCACTGGTTGACCTTTAGGCATCCGCGGGGACCTTGACAAGGACTTTTCTTCCCCGGAAGTACAGGTAGGGACTCTCCATTCCTGGAAGTGTAGGCCTTCCCTCCTTGCAGATCCCAAAGCTACCACCTAAGTCATGAAATGATCTGTAATCATCATGCGAAGACTGAGAAATAAGAGGGGTAAGAAAAATCAAGGTACACTTTGAACATATATGTAATTACACCAGCAAAAAATTGTATTACAAAAAAGGGAAATTTAAAGAATTAACCCTATGTTAATACTTTTATTAAGATTTATTTTATTTATTTGAAAGACAGAGTGGGCCGGCGCCGCGGCTCACTAGGCTAATCCTCCGCCTAGCGGCGCCAGCACACCGGGTTCTAGTCCCGGTCGGGGCACCGGATTCTGTCCCGGTTGCCCCTCTTCCAGGCCAGCTCTCTGCTGTGGCCAGGGAGTGCAGTGGAGGATGGCCCAGGTGCTTGGGCCCTGCACCCCATGGGAGACCAGGATAAGCGCCTGGCTCCTGGCTCCTGCCATCGGATCAGCGCGGTGCGCCGGCCGCGGCGGCCATTGGAGGGTGAACCAATGGCAAAGGAAGACCTTTCTCTCTGTTCTCTCTCTCACTGTCCACTCTGCCGGTCAAAACAGAAACAAAAAAAAAAAAAAAAAAAAGACAGAGTTACAGAGAGAGGCTGAAACAGAGAGAAAGGTCTTCACTCCACAGATGGCCGCAATGACCGGAGCTGCACCAATCCGAAGCCAGGAGCCAGGAGCCGGGAGCTTTTTTCGGGTCTCCCACGTGGGTGCAGGGGCCCAAAGATTTGGGCCATCTTCCACTGCTTTCCCAGGCCATAGCAGAGAGCTGGATTGGAAGAGGAGCAGTCTGGACTAGAACTGGTGTCCAAAGGGGATGCTGGTGCTTCAGGCCAGGACTTTAATCCGCTACGCCACAGCACTGGCTCCTACGTTAATACATTTTTAAAAAGATTAATTGTTTTATTTTACAAGTCAGCATTACAGAGAGAGACAGAGAAGAAGAGATCTTCCATCTACTGTTTTACTCCCTAGATGGCTGCAATGGCCAGGACTGGGCCAGGCTGAAGTCAGAAGCCATAGGCTTCTTCCAGGTCTCCCACATGGGTGGCAGGGTCCCAGCCACTTGGGACATCTTCTGTTGCTTTTCCCAGGCCATTAGCAGAAAGCTGGATCAAAAGTGGAGCAGCTGGGACAGAAACCAGTGTCCATATGGGATGTTGGCATCATAGGTGGCAGCTTTATCCACTATGCCACAACAGTAACCCTATTAATGTATTATTTAAGAAGGGAAATATCCTTACATGTTCATGATAACATTATGGTTCTGGTTTTTGACAAATCTGCAGATTTGTTGATGACTGTTAAAATTGGTCTTCTTTGTCATTTATATTCCACAGACAGCATAGCTAGACTTGTCCATCTATTTTCCCTCATAATTGATCAAAAATTTGGGATTTATTAATTTTAATATCAAAAATTATTTCACAAGAACTAACAGATACACTACAATAAAGGTGTAAATAAAGATTCATTCAGCAGATTTATAAAAGCTCCATTGCATAAATAAACTCAAATTGCTATACTGGCCATGTCTTTATTTGAAGGATCAATTCCAATATCTGACATTTAAAAAGTTACTAAAATACCTTTACAAGGAAGCTTATCAAAAATATCTATGACATTTTATGAAATCTTTAAAAATCATAAGAAATAGCTTTATGATAACTAACAATATCTGACCAATTGCTGTTGAACAAATGTCCAGTTCTTTGTGAAAATAATTGCATCAGCCAAATATTCTCTTATCCTTTTGATTTATTCTAGAAATGTGAGATCAGCATCTTTTATTGTTTCTCCTGACATCTTTCTTTGAAATTTCAGTCTATGGCCATACCACCCTTAAAGCGCCCGATCTCATCTGATCTCGTAAATTTCAATCTTTTTCCTATGCAAAAGGTCCATTCGAAATCCTTACTTTTTTTTTAAAGATTTATTTATTTTTATTGATAGGCAGAGTTATATAGAGGTCTTCATTTACTGGTTCACTCCCCAAAGGGCCACAATAGCCAGAGCTGGGCCTATCCGAAGCCAGGAACCAGCAGCTTCTTTCAGGTCTCCCATGTGGGTTCAGGGGTCCAAGCACTTGGGCCATCTTCCACTGCTTTCCCAGGCCATTAGCAAAGAACTAGATGGGAAGTGGAGCAACCAGAACTCAAAGCAGCACCCATACTGGATGCCTGGGCTGCCACAGCACTGGCCCAAAATCCTTAATCTTATTGTTGGATAGCTAATGGGCTTCTCCACAGTTTCTGTGTGCTGAACTTCACAGTTTCATTTTCAAGTGTGATGTTTTACTGTGCATGATCAGACTGGTTCTATTTGTAAGCAGTGTTTTGGTGTCCAATTAGCAATATCCAAAACTTCAAACCAGAAAAATTCAAATCCAGAGTACTGCGTTTATGAACTAAAATTTATGCTTATTTTCCAAGAACATAATATTCTCTACCTTAATTTTGTTTCACTGTTTTAATTTTTAAGTATAAATTAATTCTTTGGGGCTGATGTTGTGGCATAGCAGGTAAAGCTGCTGATCCTTAGTGGTGTTGAGCACTTTTTTACATTAACCATTGGAAAAATGTCTGCTCAGCCCTGTTGCTAATTTTTAAATTGGGTTATTTTTTCATTTACTACTTAGTTACAGGAATTTCTCTTATATTTTTGATACCAACTGCTTACTGGGTAAGTGCTTTACAATTATTTTGTCTCATTCTGTCAATTGCCTTTTAATGTTGTCGATTGTGTCTTTTGTTATGCAGGATCTTTTTACTTTGATGTAATCTCACTTGTTTATTTTTGCTTTTCTTGCCTAAGCTTTTGTTGTTACATATAAAAAATCATTTCCAAGACCAATATCATGTAACTTTCCCCCTATGTTTCTTCTATAATTTTTATGGTTTCAAATCTAAGGCTAAGTCTTTAAGCCATTTGGGTTGATTTTTGTGTACGGTATCAGATAAGGATCTGATTTAATTTTTGTATGTGTGGATATCCAGCTTTCCCAATGCTGTTTATTGATGTAACTATCATTTCTCCATGGACTATTCCCAGTACCCTTTATCAAAGATTGTCTAGCCATATATGCATGGATTAATTTCTGGATTATTTATTTTGTTCCATTGGTCTGTGTGTGTTTTTATGCCAGACTTTACTGTTTTGATAACTGTAATATAATTCGAAATCAGGAAACATGATGCCTCCAGCTTTGCTCTTCTTGCTCAAGATCGTTGTATCCATTTGAAGTCTTTTGTAGTTAAAATTCAATTTAAGGATTTTTTTTCTATTTCTGAAAAAAAAGTCATTGGAATTCTGATAGGGATTGTCTTGAATCTGTAGATCACTTGAAGCAGTTGGACACTTTAACAATACTGATTCTTCAGACCCATGAAAATGATAAGTAACAAATTCTATCTGTTCCTTTATACAATGAGAGAAGACCTTCTTCAGACCTTAGTCACGTTCAACTTTAGAATGAGAAGTTGAGGGGTGGATGAACTTCCAGGCTCCTTCATGTTCAGGCACTAGTTCACCTGTACCCAGTGTTTATCAATGCTAGCAGCCTCTGCTTTTCTGTGCCTTTGTCACCATTAAGATAAGATGCTCTTAAGGCCCTACTACATGCTTCTGTCAACAGAGGCATCCAGGCGAGTGCTTCAGCCATTTAGAAACTAATTGAGAACCTCCCTGATCCATGATGTCTCAGTTAGTGAAACAAAAATATGGCTTACCTCTGACTTATTTCAGTCCATTCACTATCAAAATAGCAAAACCACAGCAGTTCTCCCCTGAGGTGCTCTGACAATATTATATTCAATCCAGCCATACAAACCTCCTTGACGAATGGACAGGACAAATATTCCCATAGAGCTGAGCCCATTTTATTGGGATAGAAATTGTGTTGGATATCATTGTCTTAGATTTTTAAAGGACACACCAAGACAGCCATTTACCTAGCTAAAAGACACTTTAAGGTGCTTCAAATATGTGCCTCCCTTAGAAGATACGAGTGATTCTTAGCATTGATTTGTCTCCCAAGTCTCCTTAGAGTTCCCCTGTATAATAATAATAATAATAATAATAATAATAAATATATATATTTCAGAATCAAACATTACTGGCTTGAGTGATTCCTTTCATAATTTATTTTTGATGTGATCATAGGTAAGTTATTGAACTGTATGCATGTTTCTACAGTGCAATCTGTGAGGAGGAAGTGTTATAGATGGCAGACCAGACCAGATCTCACCACAAAAAGAAAGCTTGGCATCAAAAGGCAAGACAATGTCCTGGAGAAGACTCACTTTGTCCCAGTCAGTGTGGTCTCAGTGAAGTTCCTTCCACTTCTTGGGTTTAATGCCCCGTGTTATGTGCAGTGAAGAGCTGTACCCAGATCAGATGATCTGGAACTCAAAGCAGCAGTTTTTATATAAACAACTCATAGAAGAATGCCATATATCAAAGGAAAAAGAAATCAGAGAGGGCCTGGGACCAAGCTCTCCTAAGCCATTTGTAGAGACTCTAGGGAATAACAATAAAGTAACTTTAAGACAACTTTTGGACAGCTTCAGGGCTGTCTGGAACATGGAATATTCTGTCTTTGGTTCTTGAAGATTTATCCTTAATCACTATGAAATAAATCCGAAAGTCAATCAATAGTCTCACTGTGATTACAACATGGCAAAAACTTTGGAAGTCATTTTCCTTATCTTCACTATTCTGTTTGTCACATTTTCTTAGTAAAAGTAGGAAGACCAGGAGATTTTGTGTATTAAGGGCTTGTTTTAAGTTACTACCTCAAAATACTGAGGTTGAATTCTTAGCTCCATCATAGTTCAACAACTTAATTAAAATAGGTGACAAATATATTTGAATTTCGTTAAGAGAATAGATTTTAAGTGTTCTCACCACAAAAAATATATGATGCAATACATGTATTAAGTAGCTTGATTAAACCATGCTATCGGTGTAGTCCTGTATCAAAGCATCATTTGTACACCAGAATACTGTATGATATAAAATTTGTATTTATCCACAAAGGATAAATAAATTATATATGCCACATTGTGTATATGTTTTTATGCCAGTGTCATGCTGCCTCAGTTACAGTAGCTGTGTTAAATGTTTTGTGATACCTTTATCTTTATTCTTTTTTGTTCAATATTGCTTTGGCTATTTGGGGTCTTTTGCACTTCCAATATGAATTTTAGGATTTTTTTCTAATTCTGTGAAGAATGTCATTGGTATTTTGATGGGAATTTCATTGAATTTGTAAATCACTTAGAGTAGTATGGATGTTTACATACTATTAATTCCAATCCATGAATATGGGAAGTTTTTCCTTTTTTTCTGGTCTTTGTGTGTGTCCTCATTTTCCTTCCTCAGAATTTTATAATTTTCATGGTAGAATTCCTTGGTTAAAATTATGCCAAGGTATTTCTTTTTGGAAGTAAGAATGAGATTATTCTTACCATTTCTTTCTTAGTTCATTAATTGGAATATA